CCACTGAGCCCCAGCCTTGGCAATTCTTATCATTTAACTTTACTGGGGAAAAGTTAGGACAAGCAGGCCTCAGGGACCCACGCAGAAGACGCGCTCAGAGGAGCCGGTCGGTGGTGGCACACACCTTTAACCCCAGCACTTGGGAGGCAGAGGCAGGCAGGCAGATCTCTGAGTTCAAGGCCAGTCTGGTCTACAGAGAGAGTTCCAGGACAGCTAAGGCTACACAGAGAAACCCTGTATTGAAAAACAAACAAACAAAAAAATGTGTACAGCGCAACGAGTTGAAAAAAAAATGTGTACAGTGAACATGGGGCTTTGTTAGGAAGAGAAATGAGCAGTAGAAAAGAAAAAGGAGTCTTCTCTTAAGTTATGTCTATCCAGGGGTAGGGCATTTAGAACCCAGCTTTTGGTGAGGAAGATAGGTGGTTCTCTAAACAGCAAAGAGACAGAAGAGACAGCAAGTGACTCTGTTCTAGACATCAAGTATCTAGAACTTCCCTGCCTCTACAAAGCTAGGTTCTAGAGTCCACTGTTTGCTGGGCCTTAGAGGGTCAGAGGCTGAGGCTTCATTTTTTTAAATCCTTCTTTCTTTAATTATTATTTTTTGGGGATAGGGCCTCAGTAGCTCAGACTAGCTTCAAATCCACTACGAAGTTGAGGATGACCTTGAACTCCCCATCCTCCTGCCTCCACCCCCCAAATGCTGGGATTTTACACACATGCCATCATGCCTGGTTTTACTTGATGTTGAGAGTTGAATGCAAAGCTTTGTGCGTAACAGACAAGCACTGTCCCCAGTGAACTTCCCCAGCACTGGAGGCTTAGTTCCATGCGCAAAAAGCTCATTTTCCAATGAAGTTATTCCATTTGTATTTCTACTGTGAAATCCCTGGGGTTTGGAATGTACATACATGAAATAGTCATAAATACACATGCACTTATGAAAACGTGAAAGCTACAGTTCAGCTGATCCTCTGTAGAGTGAAAAATGGGGCGTAGAAGGGTCCAAAAGGAACACACCCTAAGAATCCATAGGGTCCTAGCTGAGCGGTGAAGTAAGCAAGGCTCATGGACAGTTGCTAAATCAACAGAAAGAACATGGGGACAACTAAGTCTGGGGCCAGGGGATGGTGGACCAGACACCAAGGAAGGCAGATAGACAGTGGCAACTGGGCTACACTCTTCCCTATATATAGACATTCCAAAGAAAGCTCAGAGGAGCCAGGCCAGGCTAAATAAGGCCTCCCCCTGCCAGGCAGAGGATCAAGGCATGGTACTCAGGGGAGTCCAACTTGGACAATGGACACTGAGATCACTTGTCTGCAACAGGAGGAAGGCAACCCTTAGCAACCACCCATCACCAACTCATTCCTGTGTTTATTTGGTGAAACAATAAGAACCAAGGTCCCAAGTGCAGCCAAGCAAGATGTTAGCTGCCCCTATTCTCATTCACCCTCTCTTCTCATCTTGCTAATGCTCCTCTCTGGCCAGGCTTCAGAACTGCCCCACACACCACCCTCGACGATCGCATATGCTAGAAGCTCCCTGAGATCTCTCTCAGCTTTCAGATCACTTCCTCCTGTATTCCCTCTACCCTACACTCCTGCTCTGTGGCTCAAGGAGAGAAACAGCTTCCAAGCCTCTGGCCCCACACTTAAACAATGTCACACGTGAGGCTTCACTGAGACAATCATAATAAAAACAAACAAACAAAAAAAAACAGTATGGTAGTTGTAATTTGGAGAGGTAGAGGTTGGAAGATGGGGAATAAGGAATTTAGCACCAGCCTTGGAGGCATCTCAGAAAAAAAGAGAAAAAGGTGATGGGAGATGGCTCTGTCTGTGAAGTCCTTGCCACACAAGCACCAGGACTTGAGTTTAGATTATCATTAGCCATTTGAGACCATAAGCCCAGCAATGGAAGGGGTGATGGGGCCCGAATGAAAACTAGGAGATCCCTGATGCTCATTAGCCACCAGCCTGGCCATATGGGTGAGCTCCAGGCAACATCTGACTACAAACACACAAGCGCACACGCACACACACACACACACACACACGCACATGTACACACAAAACCAGACAGAGCACTCCCAACTTTGGCAGCATTTACATGAGAAATCTATCATGGAAGTGATGGACCACTTTTTGGGGGGACAAAGGGAGAGGTTCAACAAAGGGTTTCTCTGTGTAACAGTCCTAGCTATCTTAGAACTTTCTTTGCAGACGAGGCTGGCCTCAAACTCACAGAGCTCCATCTGCCTCTGCCTCTGCCTCTCAAGTGCTGGGATTAAAGGCGTGTGCCACCACCGCCCAGCAATGGACCACTTTTTAAAACTTTTGTATTTTATTTGTGCATACGCACACACACTCAAACACCACACTGCACATGTGGTAGTCAAAGGGCAGAAATCGAGGGTGGGTTCTCTCCCTTCACCTGTGGATCCCTGGAATTGAACTTGGGTTGCCACTTATTTGGGTGGTGGGGGAATCTTTTTTTTTTTAATAGAGTCTCACTACATGGTTCAGGTTGCCCTCTAACTTTCCATTCTTCTGCCTCAGCCTTCCAAGCGCCACACTTGCAGGCAATGCTGGCTTTCCTGCCTGACTGCACAGACCAGATTTCTTTCCATGACGTCATGAACACGCTTTTTCTTTTCCCTTCATTTCTTTCTGTTGGTTTAGTTGCTGCTGCTGCTGTTGTTTTGAGTTAGGCCTTGAACGCAGGATCCCCCTGCCTCAGCTTCTCAGGTGCTGGAATAACAGGTGTGCACGATCATGCCCGGCTGAACTCTGGCTGTGCATCCTGACCTGTGTGGTATACACTGCAGAAAAGTTAATAGCCAGCCAGCAGGAGGAAAATGAGTGGAGAGCCTTTTTGTCCTCGCAGGCTGCCTGTGAGCAAGTGCAAAGTAATTAGAGCTTGAAGTCGCCAGCAAGCTGAAGTCCCAAATGTCACCCTGGCTGGCCCACTCCCTCTGTAGACCAGGCTGGCCTTGCACTCACAGAGACCACCTGTCTCTCTCCCAAGTGCTGGGATTAAAAGTCCTGGCCTCTGGCCTCCATCTTTGGAGACCCCGTCCCTGTGCCCACGGAGCCTTGACCCCTCCCTGGAAGGAGGGTCAAGACAGCCCGCCCAAATCTTGACCACTCCCCCAGTTTATTTAAACTGCTTCCCCAGAAAGTTCCCTCATGGTCTCTTTCCTCTCCCCTGGTGGTTGTGTTTGCAGCTTCCCCCTGGGGCCACCCGAGAGCAGCAGGAACCCCATTAAACCTGGATATTTTTTAATTTGGCTTGTTGTGATTTGGCTTGATTGGGATTTTTGCATTGGCAGAGAGCTCGCATTAGGAAAATTTCTAACAACCACCATATCTTTTTTTTTTCTTTTTCTTTTTTCTTTTTTTAGTTTTTCAAGACAGGGTTTTTCTGGTGGCTTTGGAGCCTGTCCTGGAACTAGCTCTGTAGACTAGGCTGGTCTCGAACTCACAGAGATCCACCTGCCTCTGCCTCCCGAGTGCTGGGATTAAAGGCGTGCTACCTGTTTTTTTTTTTTCTTTCTAAGATTTATTTAACTATACATACATGTGTGTCTGTGTTTGGTTTTTGTGCACATGTGTGCAGATACCCTTGGAGGCCAGAAGGGGGCACTGAATCCCATGCAGTTACGAGGTTATAAGGTCCCAGTTGTTGGCGCTGGAAACTGAATTCTGGTCCTCAGTGAAAACAGTACACATTCTCAAGCACTTAGCCACTTCTCCAGCCTCAGCCTTCATACTGAATGTGAACCATTACTGTCCAATAGCTGCCTCCTCTGAGACCCACATGTGACAGTGTGTGAAACACCTACAACTGGACACCATGAGTCCTAAAAACTGATATCTTTCTGTTCAACGAAGGCCAGGTTTTCCATTCAAAAGTATCTCCCCCATCCCTCTCCTGTGCCCTGAAAGGGGGTAGGAGATACTATCTGAGACACCTTGTTTTGAGACAGGTTCTATGTAGCTTTGGCAGGCCTGGAACTGGCTGTGTAGACCAGGTTGGCCTTGAACTCACAGAGATCTTCCTACCTCTGCTTCCTTGGTGCTGGGATTAAAGATGTGTGCCACCAACACCACCACGCCTGGTCTTTGTTCTATTGTCTAGCTGCCAATTTCAAATCTGCCCTGCTAGGCCTTGGGTCAGGAAGCAGCAATCATTTTCTTGGCTACTGTTACTCGGCAGTAAAAGATAAAACTGCAGTTCTCGGAGAGCTATATAAATCACCAGACCCACCCTGCGCACGCGGGAAAAGCTCCACACTAGAAATCTCTGGCAAAATGGGGCCTGCAAAAAGCGACCTTTGACTCTCTGGATCTGTTTTCCTGTTTGACTGCCCATAGCTGAAGCTCAAACGAAACTGGGAAGGCCTAGGAACACTCTCACCAGGCAAGGACTAAGGTTCTTGCAAGAGTTGAAATTTTAGTTATTAGTATTAGAATTCTTGTTCCTTAAGAGAAAACCGAGGCTGGGCGAGGCCGGATTTCAGGCTAATCTCAAGGGAGAGCTAAGTTCCCAAATGTCAAGAAATTACATTGTAAAGTTACACAGCACTGTATGGAAATTAGGGGAAAAGCTTGGGGCTGCCCCAGGAGTCCAGGAGGGGTGGGACAAGTCCAAGAGGGTGCACGGCCAACCCGAACGTGGACAGTTTCGTGCGGAGGCCTGGGCTAGCCAGGCCACTGCTCGCGTCCCTCCCGAAGGCAGCGGCCCGGGATTCCGAGTTCCGGGGGCGGGTGGGGCCGGGATGGGCCGGGCCGGGCGGCGGCAGGGAGCGGCTAGGTGGCGCTGTAAGCAGCCGGCGCCGCTCACCCCTTAAAGCCTCGGGCCGCCCTACTGGATCCCGGGAACCCGCCCTGAACGGACTCGGGACGCTGTGGGTGGAGGCGCGTCCCGGCCTGCGGGGAGGCGCCCGGGAGAGGCCGGCCTCCTGCACGTCCCAGGCTGTCGCCGACGGTGGGCGTGGCCTCTGATGCCCCGCCCATTGACACGCCCCCGGGCCCCTCTCCGGCCCTGGACCCAGCTTGGCGCGCTCCCCCCTGGGTGCCATGGCCTCGCGGCTCCTGCACCGGCTGCGACACGCCCTGGCTAGCGATGGCCCCGGGGAGGCGGCGGCAGGCCCCGAGGCCGAGCAGTTCCCTGAAAGCTCCGAGCTGGAGGACGACGACGCCGAGGGCCTTTCCTCCCGCCTCAGCGGCACCCTCAGCTTCACCAGTGCCGAGGACGACCCGGACGACGAAGACGAGGACGACGAGGCGAGCCCCGACTCGCCGCCCTCCGGAGACGGGACATCGGGAGAAGACGCAGGCGAGTGCGGGAGGACGGAGGCAGGAACCTCGGGGCTCGGTTAGGCCTCCCCGCTGGCCGTGTTCCGAGAACATCCCGGGGGCTCTGAGTTCTCTTCCTGAAACTCTTGACACCTTAAGCGTTTGCAAATACTGTTTGGCTGTGTGACCTTGAGTCACAACCGTGGGAACCACCCATCTCAGGGGTTTTGTGGATATTAAATGCACAGGACCAAGGAAACAAATGCATGGTGTACTAGCTGCTTTGGGTGGAGATATTTAGCATCTACTGTAAGCCAGGCGCTGGAATAAAGGCCACCTCGCTGGCGTGAATGAGGTCATGGCATTTGTTTACATTAACCCTTGCGCTAGCCCCTTAACACGACTGGTCTTGTGCTTGTGCAGAACGGAGTCCCCCACCTGATGGACAACGGGGCAGTCAACTCCTGGCTCGGCAGCTGCAGGATTTCTGGAAGAAGTCTCGGAACACCCTAGTTCCACAGCGGCTGCTCTTTGAGGTGACCAGCGCCAATGTTGTCAAGGACCCTCCCTCCAAGTACGTGGTGAGTGAGGTTCCAGGGACCCTTAGGCAGTGCAGTCTGCAAGTCTGATTGAGAGAGTAGGGGGCACCACCGCTTTCGGTGAGGTTTTGGCTATGCAGTTATAAATGGCTGTCCTTATTTTACGGAACTGAGGCAGGACAAGGGAATGGATGTAGCTTGAGCAAGTCCTCAGGTAGCTGTCACTGAGAAAGTGACCTTTAAGAAGCTGCCTCCTGTCACAGCTGGTGTGTGCTGTCCTGTACCCCATGGACTTTTGTCAACTGCAGCAAGACACACACTTGAGACCCAGTTGCAGGGGTCAGGATTAAGGAAATGGCTTCTGATACAGATCAGCCTCGATTCCCAGGCCATATATTTTATCAGTGGCTTCACCGTGGGTGGGTTCTGGACCCCTGATGGCCCCCAGTTTCCTCGTTTGAGCAGTAGGACAGTGTGCAGGATTATAGCAGGGGGTAAATGAGACCAGGCACAAAGAACCCTTGGCATGTCTGGCATTGTGAAATACTAAACTGGTAGCTATGTAGTTTCCGATTCCCTAATCTGAAATGCTTGAAAATCCTAAGCATTTGTGTGTCAACATGATGCCACAAGTGGAAAATTCCACATCTAACTTCATGTGATGTGTGCTTGAAATGTAGGCCCATTTAAAAATATTGCATAATGCCAGGCGATGGTGGCGCACGCCTTTAATCCCAGCACTCGGGAGGCAGAGGCAGGTGGATCTCTGTGAATTCGAGACCAGCCTGGTCTACAAGAGCTAGTTCCAGGACAGGCTCCAAACCACAGAGAAACCCTGTCTCGAAAAAAAAAAAAATATATTGCATAGGGACTTGAAAGGCTGAGGCAGTAAGAGTGTCACAAGTTCAAAGCTAACCTGGGCTAGAGAGTGAATGCCAAGCCAGGTAAGACAACACACCTAGACACTGCCTCCCCCCACCTCTCTTTCTCTCTCTCTCTCTCTCTCTCTCTCTCTCTCTCTCTCTCTCTCTCACACACACACACACACACACACACACACACACACACACACGGCCAAACACCAAGGGGGAATGTGGCTCACTGATACGGCACTTGCCTACCATGCTCAAGAACTGAGCTTTATCCCCTGCTCCCGTCCCCAGTCATATAAAACTACCTTCAGAGCTGGCACAGTTGGGAAGTAGAGCTCCAGGCCAGTCTGGATATATAGCAAGACCAGATTGGGCTACATAAAATCCTGCCTCAAAAAACAAAAATCCCTTGGGGCTGGAGAGATGGCTCAGTGGTTAAGAGCATTGCCTGCTCTTCCAAAGGTCCTGAGTTCAATTCCCAGCAACCACATGGTGGCTCACAACCATCTGTAATGAGGTCCGGTGCCTTCTTCTGGCCTGCAGACATACACAGACAGAATATTGTATACATAACAAGTAAATAAATAAATATTTAAAAAAAAATCCCAGACTACTTTTAGGCTATGTTTATAAAGTACAGGAAATGAGTTTTAGGAGCCAGCATGTAATTCTCAGTGGATAGAATGCTTGCCCACCACTACATAAACTGTGTGGTGGCACACACCTGTGGTCCTGGTGCTTGGAAGGGGGCTGGGGACCAGGAGTTCAAGATCAACTACGTAAGCTCCAGGACAGTCTTCTGCAATACATGAGACCCTGTCTCAAAACAATAATTTTTCATGTACTTTATAGATTTTATATTAGATTTGGGTCTCATTTCTAAGACATCTTATTGTATATATGCAAGTGTTTCAAATCTGAAATAGCTCTGGTCCCAAGCACTTTGGACGAGGGAAACTCGGCTTGTATTCGTATTTAACTTTGGATGGGAAATGTCAGGCATCCAGGGCCTGCTGCAGCCTCCTGTCCAATCGGTTCTCCAGCCCCATCCCACCTCCAACACCATCAGGACTAAGGAACAGTGTGGAGCTGGGCCTAGAGTCCCTGTTTTCCTGGCTGTGAAGTGGAGAGACTGTCCAGGCCTGCTGCCTCTAGGTCTAACCTATCTGAGTTAGCTGGTCCCATCCTGGCAGTGGTCACCCCGATTCCTTCACCCCCCACCCCCAGGCTTGTCACTTCCCTCCTCTGCACACCCTCCCCCACCTCTGACTCAGCAAGACAGGGGGCCCAGAGCTCTGGGGTCATGGAGCCCTGTCCCATATTTGGGTCTCTCCACCCCTCTCTGTTGCTGTTAGTAACAAGGACCACACCCATGGGGTGACTGTTCCACTTTGTGCAGGGATGGATAGATGATGCAGGTTTTATATCTTGTTAAGGATCAAGTCCTTCTGCGTGCTAAGCAGATGCTGTACCACTGAGCTACACACTCCTAGCCCCCTATGGTCCAATCTTAAGTCACAAATGTCCCAGAGCTCTGGGGTAAGCAAGGGGTCATGCCCAGGAGTGAGACACCAAGGATCAGTAAACAGAGAGCAGCTCTCTCAGAAAAGAATGGGGCGGGGGTTGAATCTGGGGACCTAGGTGGAAAGGTTTAAGGAAGAGCAAGGGTCATCTTCCGTCCTGACCTGTGTCTAGAAAATGAAGCCACCTCTGTACAGTGGGCACCCTTGTCTCCATATTTCTTCTCTGGGAGGTCAAGAGCACGGATTTTAGAATCAGTTCTCGGGACCAGTCTTTGTGCCCTCCGCTCCCTCTCCTCCTTGCAGTGCTGTTAATGATGGTTAAGGGGCACCTAAATGGAGAAGTACTTGGTCTATCATGAGATGCGGGGTAAGCACTCAGGGCAGACCACAGACCAACAGTCACACCGTTAGAGGGGTGGGGAGGTGCAGATGGAACCCATGGCCTCATGCGTGTTAGGAAGTACTCTGCCATCGAGGGGCCACCAAGCACCAACAACTATAACCACTGTTACCTATCTTGGGGGGGGGTCATTATAAGTATCAGGTGAAATAAAGGATATAAAATAGTCTTTGGCAGAAAATTCAAAATAAAAATAGAGGGGAGTAAATATGATAAAAATATGTTGTATACATATATGAAATTTTCAAAGAATAAAAATACTAAGATTTGAAAAATCAACCTAGAGCTGGGTGTTGGTGGTGCACACCTTTAATCCCAGCACTTGGGAGGCACAGGCAGGCAGATCTGTGAGTTCGAAGCCAGCCTGGTCTGCAGAGTGAGTTCCAGGACAGGCTCCAAAGCTACACAAAGAAACCCTGTCTTGGGAAAAAAAAAATGTTGCTAGTAGGCCAGGGAAATGGTATTTGTCTGACAACCTGAGTTTGATCCCCAGAACCCATAGTGGAAGGAGAACGACCCCCCAAAGTTGCTCTGACCTCCATATATTACTGTGGCACATGTGCACAAACATAACACACCCACCCATGCCACCCACCCATGCCCTTCACATCGGATACAATTAAAAATGAATACTTATATCACTTTATGCTTAACTTTTGGTGGTGGTGGTGGTGGTGGTGGTGGTGGTGGTGGTGTGCGTGTGTGTATACTGAAACTAGGGCCTTGTACATGCTTAGGCAAGTGCTTTACCCCTGAGTTATAGTCTCAGTCTTCTTTTTAATGTTTGTAAAACATTATAAACATAATAGTCTCACCAAGTGCCTCAGGGTGGTCTTGAGGGCCAAAAAAGAAAGGAAGCAAAGAGAAAGCAGAATGGTAGTGTCTCCGGCAGTGTTCTCCAGTGTCTGCCACCTAAAGACCTTGAGCACCAAAACTAGGACATCCCAGACCTGAGCAAACAATGGCCCTGTCCTAGGAACTTTTCCCTAGAGCAGTCACCGGCTTTGCTGAGGTCACCAGAAGAGGCTGGACTTTGGGTTGCCCGAGTCCTGGACCAGTGAACTCCTAATTTTGCCACTGTGGCTGTCTGAAGACTTGTCCTTTGGTCTGGTTTGAAAGAGGTTGGTCAGTAATGTGGGGACAGCTATGTATCCAGAGCAGCACACAGCTCCAAGCTGGCTCTCAGATTGGCTCAGAGGCCCCCAAAATGGCTCTGGGTTTCAGCTCACTCCTGGGTTTCCCTAAGGCTTTCCCAAGAACTAACTCCCTAGGGGCAGGGAGAACTTTCCCAGAAGCAGCAAGCTCCGGATGCTGAAGTTCATTTCTGTCTTTCTTTCCCCTGTGCTGCCTTGGGCCTTGGGTCATTTCAGAGGAGCCTCAGGTAAGATGGGAGTGGGTTCCTGGCCACTGCTCTGCAGCTTCTTCCCTCCAAGACAATCCCGGGGAGGAGGTGGGGGGCTGAGGTGGAAAAGCAAAGCCAAGAGTGGAAGGGAGGGAAAGGACCCCCAGATGGTTTATATTAGCCCTGATGTCCACCCTCCCTACAGCTCTACACCCTCGCCGTGATTGGCCCAGGACCACCAGATCGCCAGCCAGCCCAGATCTCCCGCCGTTACTCGGACTTTGAACGGCTGCACAGAAACCTGCAGCGGCAATTCCGGGGCCCCATGGCTGCCATCTCCTTCCCCCGTAAACGTCTGCGCCGGAACTTTACTGCAGAAACCATTGCCCGCCGTAGCCGGGCCTTTGAACAGTTTTTGGGTCACCTGCAGGCAGTGCCCGAGCTCCGCCAAGCCCCAGACCTGCACGACTTCTTCGTGCTGCCCGAGCTGCGGCGAGCGCAGAGCCTCACCTGTACTGGCCTTTACCGCGAGGCTCTGGCACTGTGGGCCAACGCCTGGCAGCTGCAGACCCAGCTGGGCACCCCTTCTGGCCCAGACCGCCCCCTGTTGACTCTGGCTGGGTTGGCTGTGTGCCATCAGGAGCTGGAGGATCCTGGGGAAGCACGAGCATGTAGCGAGAAGGCCCTGCAGCTGCTGGGGGACAAGAGACCCCATCCTTTCCTGGCACCCTTTCTAGAGGCCCATGTCCGACTCTCCTGGCGCCTGGGCCTAGACAAACGGCAGACAGAAGCCCAACTTCAGTCCCTACAGGAGGCGGGCCTTACCCCCGTCCCACCACCCAGCCTCAAGGAGCTGCTTATCAAAGAGGTGCTGGACTAACTTTCATTTGTCTTGCCGCCGCTTCTGGGTGAGGGGCTGCTCCAGGTCAAGGGACTGAGGGCAATAGAGGACACTGAGCAGCCGGGGGCTGAGGAGTTCTGGGAGCCCCTAAAGTAGTTCCCGAGAAAGTCTGCAGCAGACTGAGAGGAACTTGGATTTGTGGGGCTGGACTCCAAACAGGCTTTGGTTGGGGTTACCCTAGGATGCTACAAGGAGGAAGTTTTGGGGTGGGCTCTTCAGCCTACCACAGCCGGAGGCTGTAGGCAAGGTCAGGATCAGTGTTTCCTGTTTCCTTTTCCTTGGCCTCTACACCAGTAAAACAGCTTGGCTGAAGGGCTGGAGTCCTGAAGTTTAGAGACAGGAGGAGGGAAATTAAAGGTCAGCTGCTTCAGTGTTAGCAATCTCTTTATTGAATGTGAGAGGCGGGAAGCCCAGCTCTCAACTGTGACTCCTGCCTCAGGAATGGTGGTAGAGAGTTCTTTTAACCCCAGGCCAAGCCAGTTATCTTTGACTACAGCTTACTGGCAGACACTTGAGGCTTCAGTCGGATCACACCCTCTTGGGCACAGGTCACAGCAAGGACCCCATCCCGACGCCACAGCCGGCCGTGCACTAGCCCTCGAGAGCCACCTGTGTGCAAGGAGAAGGGTGAGAACGGCCCCACCTAAGGGCACACTGGAACGTAACTACTCCAAATGCCCCTTTGTGAGCTGTTACAACCACTTGACGGCCCCAAAGCACTTTCACATAACTGCTCAGTTCCTCTAAAGATCCCAGAGACAACAGTCTCCACAGGCTTGGCCAAGCAGACTGCCGCTTCTCTGGCCACTGATCAGAAATCCCATTCTTTCCTTTTATGATAAGCAAGTCCTCCCAGCTGGTCATCCACCACCAAGGGAGGGGGTAGTTCAGAGAAGACCCGAGACCATGAGGTATGGCCCCTCTCCCCTTTTCATCTAGAGGTTCTGGCCTGAGTTAGTTACCTTCAGGAAGCTAACTCGAGCTTTCTCTTTACATACAGCAGGGCCCATGCAGATCTAACTGTAGCCAGAGAACGCGGGGCTTCATTTCTTGTACTGTCTTACAGACAGGGACACTAAAGTGCTCAGAGGCTCAGGCTTGGCCCCGAGGGTCAGGCCAAAGCTGACCGAGTGTCCTAACTTCAAGGTTGTGGACCCTGTTCTGTGATGCTGGTGGCATTTGAGTAACCCTTTCCTGACTGATGGGGGTTATTTAAGTTTTGTCCGTTTTATAAAGCAAAGCTTTTCTTCCTTTGACGTGTACTTCATCATAAAAGAGCCAGGGCTCTAACATGAGATATCAATGAGTCTGGGTTTCTCTCGGTTCCCTACAGGAGCATCTTTAGAGACCACTGAGTGCCCTGCTCCATCCTGCCAACTCACGGAATCACTCAGGGAGCTCCTTAAAACACAGTTTACAGCTGGGCATGGTGGCATATGCTTCTAATCCCAGCACTTGGGGGGCAGAAGCGTGTGGATCTCTGTGAGTTCAAGACCCAGCCTGGTCTACAGAGCAAGTTCCGGGACAGCTGGGGTAGAATGCAATCTGTTTAGAAAAAAGCTCCCTCAAGTGGCAGCATGGTGGTTTACTAGGTGTAGACAGTACTAATATAACCCTATTTATTTAGATAAAAAAAAAAAAAAAAAAGCAGCAGGGCATGGTGGTTCCTGCACTTGGGAGGTAGAAGGCAGGAGAATCAGGCGTTCCAGGCCAGACTCCACTCTATAAAGAGTTCAAGACAAGCAGGGGTTACATAAGACAGGGCTGGGGAGCAGAGATGTGGATCTCAGTAAGTTTTAGGCAAGTCAGAGCTCCATAGTGAAACCTTGCCCCTCCCTGTCAAAACAGAAAGAAAGAAAAGAAAAAGCTTCAGAAAGAAGAAAGGACTTTTCAGGTTCATACACGGAATCTAAAGTGGTTTGGGTACCTGCGCTGGGTCTCTGAGATAAACTCAATCATTCCTGGCATGTAGAATATCTCTGAAGACAACATGAATAACTTAGAGGGGCAGCAATGCAAGGACCCTGTACAGCATCCCCAAAAAGTAAGAAAAGGCAGCAACATCTATAAATAAAGCAGGCTCCCTACCACCCCAGAGACACTGACCCACAGGACCACACTCACCAGCCCAGGGGCTCTCGCACTCATAGAGCATCCAGTGGTCAGCTCGAAATGGGGCGTGGAACCACATTGAGTGGTCCAGTGAGACCATGAAGTTCACTTTATACTTGAACTGGTGGGGCAGCAATGCTGTACCCAGGAAGGCGTAGTCAGAGATGTAAGCAGCCACACAGCAGTGCATCTTGATGTCGCCCTCCCCTGCAACAGGTCCCAACCCCATCAGCCCTGGGCTCCTGGCTTTCCAGCGCAGGGTCTGCAGGGAGATGGGGAGAAAAAGACTACCACACACAAATTCATCATTGTGCAAGGGCACCTGGCCCAGGGTCAGGGTGTGTGTGTAAGGATAAAGGCGGTGGGGAAGAAGGAGAACAGAGGTAAGACAAATGCAAATCCCAAGCCTCTCATTCCAGCCACTCTGTGGTCCTGAAACAGGTATCTTCCAGTTTGCACAAAGACGTCTATGGTCAGCCACTGACCTATATAAGAACCTCAGCAAGAAATCTTGCTTCCCCCAGAAAGGTCCAACAATGGGATTACAGTCACCTCATTATTCTCATGTTAAAGGGTAAGGGTTCTGGTGAGAAACTGAGCCAAATTCTGCAAAACTCAGATTTTGAAACGGGCCCAAAGAGAGAATGGGATACTCAAGCAACAGATGGCAAATGAGTGGCAAGGCCTAGACCCCCGGAGTGTTTCCCTCCAATTCATGGGTCCTCTTACCAATATAGCCCCGGGCTCGCACCCAGAACATCTGTTTGGGCTCCAGTGTCGGCAGCTGGCTCAGCCGGCTGGGTGGGTTCACCATCTTGATCTCAATAGGTACCTCCTGGGCAGCGATTCGGTTCAGCCCCACCTGGTATTTCTTGTGGAGGTTAGGGTCCCTGAAAGTAAAGACAGGGACAAGGAGACCCAAGGAGAGGGAGTGTCTCTGTGCTGCCTCTTCTGGTCCCCACGTCTGTCCATAAGTCTGTCCTGCAAAGCTTCCTCATGGAGCTGGCAAAGCAATATAGTGTTTGATTCCCTTCCTTGTCACTTCAGCCATGCCATGACATGCAAGTCAGTCATCTCTCAGCCTGTTTCCCATCTGAAACAGAAGAGTGATGCAACCTGTCTTGCAACGAACATACGCAGACCTAGGCACCAGCCGGGAGGTGGTGGCACACACCTTTAATCCCAGCACTTGGGAGGCAGAGGCAGGCGGGGATCTCTGTGAGTTTGAGACCAGCCTGGTCTACAAGAGTTAGTTCCAGGACAGGCTCCAAAACCACAGAGAAACCCTGTCTCAAAAACCAAAACAAAACAAAAAAACAAAACAAACAAAAAAAAAAAAACCCCAGGGGGCTGGAGAGATGGCTCAGTGGTTAAGAGCACTGTCTGCTCTTCCAGAGGTCCTGAGTTCAATTTCCAGCAACCACATGGTGGCTCCAAACCATTTGTAATGAGATCTAGCACCCTCCTCTGGCGTATGGGTATTAATGGAGGCAGAAAGTTGTATACATAACAAATAAATAAATCTTTAAAAAAAAAAAAAAACCCAGGCACCAACCCATTCCTTGCCGGGACTTCACATGACAAGTGTGGTCATCGTTCCAAATGAGAAGAGGCATGAGCACAGGAGAATGAAGGATCTGATGTCAGGCAGTCTGGACCCACAGTTCATACATCTAACCACTCATTACTGTGAACATGCAGGAAAAGTCTCCCTATGTTATCTGCATTCTCTATCCTAAGCGGTTAGGAGCCCTGTGTGCTGGGGTGACACCATTTCCATGGGCCCACAGTGCTCTCAGCAGGCTCTGCCCTTCCCACCCCATCAGGTAGACTGTCTTCTGCACTGTCCACCCTGGCAGTCACTACCACATGAGACAGAACTTGAAATGTGACTGCTGCAACTACAGAACAACCCTGATGAAGGGGGTGGCATGGGGTGCGGCTCTGTGGTAGAGAGCTTGCCTTGCATGCACAAAGCCCTGGGGATTTGATCCCTAGCACCACACACAGAAAAGAATTGTTCATTCTATTTCATTAATTTCATATAGCCTATAGGGTTAGTAGCTACCTTATTGAGGTGTACACTCCTAAATTCAGGCTCCTTTAACAAGAATACATTATCTTCATTTCTGTGCACACCAAGCCCCAGCTTTATGCTCATCTGTTAGTGGTGTAACTACTCACACAGCACTGCTAAGTGCCTTCATACCTCTATCACATTTAGTCCTCACAGAAGCCTTAGGAGGGGAAAGTTATAATTAGCTCATTTATAACCAAAGGTGTGGACTCAGAGTAGGCAAGCATTTGCCCAAACTTATACCAATATTAGGGTCAGAGCCTAGACTTGAATGCTGGCTATTCAGGCTCCTGAACCCACATCCATCCCACATGCCCTCCTGCTGCCCCAGTGTCCAACACAAGCTACAGGGCCCTTCCGCACAACTCCCTACTTTGACTGCTCCCAACTTCAGATGAAGAATCTAGGGCCTTGGAAGGCTGCTGGATGGGGAACCCCATGGCAGGTAGGCACTAACAGAGGCTACAGTTCTGGTCAGAAGCCATGTGTCCATGTCTGTGTCCAGAGCTCTTCCCCATATTCCAGCCCCCCCAGACTTTGTTATGATCTCAATGAGAAACATATGCTACCAAGGTAGAGTCAAAATACTTAAAAGACACCAAAGTGAAGAAACTGACCAGTAGACCATACTCTGCAGCAGGGTCCCAGAGGAGAACACTCATCTTGCCAAACATTAACTCCAAAGCTACTGCATGATAGGCCTGAGGTAGGAGGGGGTCAGTCAGGGGACTGGAGGATATTTATTTACCCGGTGGTTGCAAAAATAGGTTATTGTTGGATTCAAGTACAGAGGATTGAACCCAGGGTCAATTTTAAAAACATTTTATTTAATTTATTATGGATGGGTAGGGGACAGTATGTACAAGTTCTACAGTGTGTAAGCAAAGATCAGAGGAAAACCTTGTAGAATTGGGTTTCTACTTACACCTTTCTATGGGTCCAAGGGATTGGACTCGGTCCTCAGACTTGTACAGCAGGGACCTTTACCTGCTGAGCCCTCTCTCTTGCCCCAAGCCAATATTTTAATAACAATAAAGCTTTCCCATGTCTGTGCTGGCTGCGTGCAAGCTCTGCTTTTTACATTATGACCCAACACACACATGCACATACGCTAGTAAAAACAAGAAACACAACTGAAATTGAAGTTGCAGAGGGCTCTTACCCTCCTTGTACAGTGGACTCCAGGATCTCCTCTTCTGCTTATATATACTATATATAAAATACGTATATTCCTACATGCATATATATTTCTACATACATATGTGTGCATTCAGCATTGGGGTTGAACTTAGAGCCTTGGGTACACTTAGCACATGCTCTATCAGAGAGTATTCCCTCTCAAGCCCCCCATGTATATAAAATTTTTAAATAGTTTGTATTAACTTTATGTGTATCAGTGTTTATCTACATATATTATGTGTGCCACAGTTGTGTTTGGTGCCCATGAAAGCTAGAAGGGGATGTCAAAGCCTTTGGAACTGGAATTAGAGGTGACTATGAGTCACCCAGCACCACACTTGGGCCCTCTGCAAAGGTAGCACATGCTCTTAATGGCTGAGCCATCTTCTCAGCCCACCCTCATTTTTTGGAGAAAAGGTCTCACTATGTAGCCCTAGCTAACCCAGGAATCGCAGAGATCCACCTGTCTCTGTCTCCCAAGTGCTGGGATCTGGTTTATACTTTTAGTACATAGTCAACACCCACTTAGGGGCTCATGAACCACTTATGAGTAGGAGTCAGAGTTTGAAAACACACTCCTGGGTGGTGGTGGTGCACACTACCGAGTAGTCCCAGCACTTAGGAGGCAAAGGCAGGCAGATCTCTGAGTTCGAGGCCAGCCTTGTCTACAAAGTGAGTTCCACCATCCTCTGCTACCAAAAAAAAAGTGAGTTCCAGGACAGCCAGGGTTACACAGGGAAAACAGTCGCAAAAGAAAAAACAGAGAAAAAAACAAAACAAAAACAAAGGCCGGGCGATGGTGGCGCACGCCTTTGATCCCAGCACTCGGGAGGCAGAGGCAGGCGGATCTCTGTGAGTTCGAGACCAGCCTGGTCTACAGAGCTAGTTCCAGGACAGGCTCCAAAGCCACAGAGAAACCCTGTCTCG